TCTTTCCCAGCATCAGGGTCTTTTCAAATGAGTCCATTCTTCACATCAGGTGGCCAAAATATTGGAGTTTCAGCTTCAGTATCAGTCCTTACAGTGAATATTCACTGCTTTCCTTTAGGATGGACTGATTGGATCTCCTTGTTGTCCAAGGAACTCTCAAGAGTCTTCTCCAACACGACAATTCAAAAGCATCAATTCTTCAGTGCTCAGCTTTCTTTATAGTCCAACTCTCACATCCATACATGACTATGGGAAAAACCATAGCTTTGACTAGGTGGACCTTTGTTGGCAAAGTAATGCCTCTGGCTTTTTAATATGTTGTCTATATTGGTCATAGCTTTTCTTCCAAGGAGCAAGCGTCTTTTAATTTCATGCCTGCAGTCACCATCTGCAGTGATTTTGGAGCCCCCAAAAATTAAGTCTGTCACTGTTCCCACTGTTTCCCCATCTATTTGCCATGAAGTGATGGGACCAGATGCCATGATCTTAGTTTTCTGAATGTTGAGTTTTAAGCCAACTTTTTCACTCTCCTCTTTCACTTTTATCAAGAAGCTCTTTAGTTCTTCTTCACTTTCTGCTATAAGGGTGGTGTCATATGCATATCTGAAGTTATTTATATTTCTCCCAGCAATCTTGATTCCAGCTCGTGCTTTCTCCAGTCCAACATTTCTCATGATGTACTCTGAATATAAGTTAAATAAGCAGGGTGACAATATACAGCCTTGACATACTCCTTTCCCTGTTTGGAACCAGTCTGTTGTTCCATGTCCAGTTCTAACTGTTGCTTCTTGACCTGCATACAGATTTCTTAGGAGGCAGGTCAGGTGGTCTGGTATTCCCATCTCTTGAAAAATTTTCCACAGTTTGTTGTGATCCACACAGTCAAAGGCTTTGGCATAGTCAATAAAGCAGAAGTAGATGTTTTTCTTGAACACTCTTGCTTTTTTGATGATCCAATGGATGTTGGCAATTTGATTTCTGGTTCCTCTGCCTTTTCTAAATCCAGCTTAAACATCTGGAAGTTCACAGTTCACGTACTGTTGAAGCCTGGCTTGGAGAATTTTGAGCATCACTTTGCTAGTGTGTGAGATGAGTGCAATTGTGCAGTAGTTTGAGCCTTTTTTGGCATTGCCTTTCTTTGGGATTGGAATGAAAGCTGACCTTTTCCAGTCCTGTGGCCACTGCTGAGTTTTCCAAATTTGCTGGCATATTGAGTACAGCACTTTCACAGCATCATCTATTAGGATTTTAAATGGCTCAACTGGAATTCCATCACCTCTACTAGCTTTGTTTGTGGTGATGCTTCCTAAGGCCCGCTTGACTTTGCATTCCAGGATGTCTGGCTCTAGGTGAGTGATGACACCCAAATAACCATGGTTATTTGGGTCATGAACATCTTTTTTGTATAGTTCTTCTGTGTATTCTTGCCACCTCTTCTTAATATCTTCTGCTTCTGTCAGGTCCATACCATTTCTGTCCTTTATTGAGCCCATCTTTGCATGAAATATTCCCTTGGTATCTCTAATTTTCTTGAAGAGATCTCTAGTCTTTTCCATTCTGTTGTTTTCCTCAATTTCTTTGCACTGATCACTGAGGGAGGCTTTCTTACCTCTCCTTGCTATTCTTTGGAACTCTGCGTTCAAATGGGTATATCTTTCCTTTTCTTCTTTGCCTTTTGTGTCCCTTCATTTCACAGCTATTTGTAAGGCCTCCTCAGACAACCATTTTGCCTTTTTGCATTTCTTTTTCTTGGGGATGGTCTTGATCACTGCCTGCTAATGTCACGAACCTCCGTCCACAGTTCTTCAGGCACTCTGTCTAGCAGATCTATTCCCTTAAATCTGTTTGTCACTTCCATTGTATAGTCGTAAGGGATTTGATTTAGCTCACACCTGAATGGTCTAGTACCCTGTAGAACCTTGTGAGTACTAGAGACAATGCATGTGAGGTGCTTTTTCACAATGCCTGGCAGAGAGTAGATGCTCAATGAACAGCAACTGGACTGTTGTTCACACAGAGTCAGGGGACTCCACATTTTCCATCTACAGGTCCCCTTAAGATCTTACCCATCCACCTACCCCTAAAAGTGAGTTTCCTTCTCTGATTCTTTTTTTTAGTTTCTTGCATATATTCTCCTGCTGTGGGAAATGGAGAGAAGGAGGGTCAGACTCTAGGTTAAGGCTTAGTAGAAGGCGGAGGAGTGTAGGGAAGTTTAACCCCTCACTACTGTCTGTTTAACCCCTGCATCATTGTCCAGATATTAAGCTTAGTGGATTGTACTCTGGTTAGGTCGTCTTGATGACACCTTAGGACTCTGGCAACATGGAAATTTTCTTTGCTTTGACAATCAGAGTAAATAGTGACCACTTGGACTTTTGTCTCAAGAAGGACTTTAAGGCTGCCTCTCCACTCAGTGGATAAGAGTTCTGTGATTGATTAAGCATGTCTGCCATGGACATGGAAGAGAAAAGGGAGTATTTGCATTTTTCACCCTCAGCTGAGACCTCATCTCCATAGTTCAGCTCCCACAAAGGGGATGAATAGTCCTCTTGTCAATCTTCTTTTGAGGAAGTAGCCCCTCCCTCAGACAAGAAATGGGAACCTAGAAGGCAGGCCTTGGGCCTTTAGAGAAGAAACTTCTGTCTTTCGTGGAGTTTCACTTCCCTAAGTTTGGATTTTAGGTACAAGTGTCTTGTGAAAAGGTACAGCTGGATGGCAGAGAACTGGTAGGCTCTGCGGGCTTGGTTTCCGCTGGGTAATGAGGGGTGGGGAATGGGGGAGACAGTCCCTGACCCCCACAGGGAGCTAGGCTGGAGAGGGAGGGTTAAATTCTAGGAGTTAATGTTTCAGTCATGAGTCCGAAGACAGAAAGCCTTCTTATCCAAGGGCCTCTCTCTTGTCTCCTCTATTTTTTCCCTTCAACTGATTGGATGAGGCCCAGCCACATTCTGGAGGGTAATCTGCTTTACTCACAATATACTGATATAAATATTAATCCCATGTAAAAAAATAGCTTCACAAGTAAGTCAGAAAGAGAAAAACAAATGTAGTATATTAATGCATATATATGGACTCTAGAAAAAGGATATTAATGAACCTATTTGCAGGGGAGAAATGGAGATGCAGATGTAGAGAATGGACTTGTAGGCACAGTTTGGGAAGGAGAGAGTGGGATGAATGGAGAAAGTAGCATCAACATTCATACACTATCGAGTGTGAGACGAATAGCCGGTGAGAATTTGCTATGTAGCCCAAGAGAGACCAGTCTGGCTCTCTGTGATAACCTGGAGGGACAGGATGCGGGGAGAGGAGGGAGGGTTGGGAGGGAAGGAATATATGTATAATTACAGCTGGTTTGCATTGCTGTATGGCAGAACCTAGCACAACATCTAAAAATTTTTTAATATATATTTAAATAAGTTTTAAAAACTAAAAAAAAAAAAAAATAGCATTACAGCAACATTTAGACTAGTGTTTGACCAGACAGCTGGGCACCATAGCCTAGCCCAGCCGACACACAATATCCACCATCACAAATATCTTCAAGGAACATCTCCCCAGCTGTGCAACACCTCCCGCTGTGGAAGAGATGATTTCTAGAGGGACAGGGGCAGTGCCTTAGATAACACTGGTCATGGGAGTGATGCTTTTCAATTCTATTTTCATTCTAATTGCTTTCAGAGGAAAGGCTCCACTTGATATGAGCCCTTAACAACTCTGTTACTTGCTCTTTGCAACGAAAGCAGGACCAGAATTCAGGTATAAATTAATTACACTCTTTTTATTGAATTAATGTTCACAATTACCTGTTTACAGCAAGGGATACTGATTTCCCATTTATGGCAGTGACATAATGTTTCTTTTTCAGATATATGTATTCAAAAAATAAAATAAGTCCATCAAAGATTAAGTAAATAATTATACAGGGGGCGCTTGGATACAACTACATTCCTGAAGGTTGCTTACAAGCAACCCACGTTTGAGAAACACAATCTTAGTCAAGAAAAGTCAGAACTTCAGGCCCAGCCAGTCTCCCATAAGAAGATACTCTCTCTGCAGCCAACCTGGGAGCATGCAGGTTTGGTTTGACGAAGGAGAAAGCTAGTTTTCTTCTAAGAAAGCATGAGAAAGACCAGAGTGTTCTCAGAGTTTGCCAGTGCTGAGAAGAGTAAAACATGCCCCTCAAGGATGCTGGTTAAGTGCATAGATTCTGGAGCCAGAGTGCTGGGGTTCAAATCCTCCTTCTGCTGTTCGTAGCTCTGCCCTGCTGAGAAGTTATTCCACCTCTTCAGCCCTCTGTGTTCTCATCTGTAAAATGGGTTTATAAAGGTACCAACTTTATAGGGTGTTATGAGAACTCAATGAACTAAAGTGCTCTAACTGTGCTGTCACATAATAGGTGTCCTTTTGGACTGAGTTGCTATCGTTGGGAATGATGGACAAAGAGAATACTGTGTCACAGTGTCCTGAGTAACAGAGAAAGTAGAGTGTGGCATCTGACACAGGGGAGTGGGGGAAATTCCAGAACGGTGTCCTGGGATATAATATATAAGCTGACATCTGGATGATCAGCAGGAGTTAGCCTGGAAAAGAGGAGAGAGAGAATGTTCTAGATAGAGGGAATAACAGTTTATGCCCAGGCTCAGAGCAAAGAAACAGTATAGTCCATTCTGGTGATTGCAAGACAGGCAGTACTGGTTACGGCAGAGGATGTGACAGAGGGTGTGTCCCAGACGCAGAAGGCTGGAAGAAGTAGACACCTACAAAGGGCTTTCTGTGCCTTGTTAGAAATTGTGGGTCATAGCAGCCCGCCATGCTTGAATCAGCACCCCAAACCTGATAAGTCATTGACAGGCATGTGGTGAATGAATAAACGCTTCCCTCGCTGCCTGATGAGACCACTTCCATTGAATGAGGGAATCTCGAGATGAGCATCTCTGCATCTCTTCTCTGTGAGTCTTGGCTGCCTGAAGGATCTGAAATCTTACTTCTGTCCACAGGTGACCTGGTGTCCCGAGCAATGCATCACCTGCAGCCCCTCAATGCCAAGCACCATGGCAATGGCACTCCCCTGCACCACAAGCAGGGGGCGCTCTACTGGGAGCCCGAGGCCCTGTATACCCTTTGCTATTTCATGCACTGCCCGCAGATGGAATGGGAAAATCCCAACGTGGAGCCCTCCAAAGTCAACCTCCAGGTGGAAAGGTAAGACATGTGTTGGCTTTGGATGGCCAGAGAGAGAAGCTCACTTCCGTCCTACACCACTTTGTGGTGGGTGGGTATTGCCTCTGAGGAGGTGCAAGGGTGGGGCTGCGGGTGCAAGGGGCCAGAGCTGCCCAGTTTCCAGAAACTCACTGGAGGTTGAATCCTGTGCCCTGAGGAGTATCTGAGACCTAGGTGCGTGCTAAGTCGCTTCAGTCGTGTCTAACTCCTTGCGACCCCATGGACTGTAGCCCACCAGGCTCCTCTGTCCATGGGGATTCTCCAGGCAAAAATACTGGAGTGGATTGCCATGCCCTCCTCCAGGGGATCTTCCTGACCCAGGGATTGAACCAACATCTCTTATGTCTCCTGCAATGGTAGGCAGGTTCTTTACCACTAGCACCACCTGGGAAGCCCTGAGACCTGAGTGGGATCTTTGAAATGGGTTTGCATAGGGCTGGTCCAATTGGGAATAGAAGTGGCCTGGGTCAGAAGAGTGGGTCGTCAAATTCCGGAGAGATGAGGGTTTCTGCAGGGCCAGGGGGCTTCCTTGTGAAGGCAGCTGTGGGGGATGCCAGCCCTATGGGTGGGAGATGTCTGTCTTCATTTCGTCCTGGCTGTCTTGGGGACTTGAGAGGGAACCTGTAACACCTGCCCATCCAGGAGTGGGCTTCTCGGGCGCACAGGAGGCAGGATAGCAAGTCCCATGAGGCAGAATCCTCCTGGCAGAGAAGGAAGGGAGGGCTTCCTGGAAGAGGAAGCTCCCTCTGATCCAGCTGCTGCTGCTCCTCAGCACCGTCCGTCCACTCCCCTGTGCCTCAGCCTCCCCATCCATAAACCAGCAGCAACACCAAGTGGTTTCCAGGTTCCCTTCTGCCTGGAAAACCCCAGGATTTTCTGAGGATGGTTTCACCCTCTCAGAGGCAAGGCATCCAAACTGCCATCAGTCCACAAGGCTGCCTGGATGCATCCCCTCTTCCCATGTGGACAGGTCCAAAAAGCTCATCTCCCCTACGTGTGGGTGCTCAGTCACTTCTTTCATGTCTGACTCTTTGCAACGCCATGGACTGTGGCCCACCAGGCTCCTCTGTCCATGGGATTCTTCAGGCACGAATACTAAAGAGAGCTGCCCTCCTCCAATGATCTTCCCAACCAGGGGATCTGTCTGCATCTCCTGCATTGTAGGCGGATTCTTTACCCACCGAGCCACCCAGGAAGCCCCTCATCTCCCCCAGCATCTCACAAATCAGGCCCATCCTCCAATGTACACAGGCTTGTTCACTGTAACCACTATAGTAGTGACCCTGTTTATTGAGTGGTTAAAAGAGCTGGCTCTGTGATCCAGACTTGTAGGTTCGAATCCAGGCTCTTCCAATTAAAAGCCAGAGTATCTTGGAAAAGTACCTTTAACCTCCCTGTGCCTCAGTTTCTTCACCTATACCATCTATAAAATAAGAATAAATCTTTCATAGGGCTATTTGAAGACTGAATGCATTGAACAGTGCCCAGCATGTAGTAAATGCTTAATAAACATTCCCTTTTATAAATGTTGGAGATCTTACCACACATAGCTGAACAGCTCCCAGTTTGAACTCAATGCACTTTTTCTCTATTAAATGATTCCAAGTGGTTTTGAAATGTTCATTGGATGCTCTGATTCTGCCAGAATGGATTGGATTTAATTGGGCTCCTAAACCATGCCACTTGGCTTTCAGTTAAAGAAGAGGAGAGAGCATGGGTGAGACAGAAATTGCCTCTTTTTTTTTTTTAAGAATCCCAAGTTAGCATCAATATTTCAAGCCTGTCTGGAATTAACTTAATCAGGGGATTAGCCACGTCTGCCACTATCCAGGCCAAATCAGTGGTGCCCTGTGTATATTTTCATGTGCCAAACACACCCAAAGCGGAGAGGTGGCAACATGGTCCCCAGGCAGAAAACAACCTCAGTCAGACACACCGAGGCTTTGTGTTCTGAGTATGAATCATGATGGCTGGGAGGATGGAAGCCGTTGGTCTCAGCTTTGGGGTATCTAGTTCTTCAGCCCCACCCCAAAAGCCTATAGAATGGGGTAGTTTCTCTGATTCACCTCCTCCCCACACTCTTCAATTCATGCCTCAAGGAAGATGACCCCCTCACATCTCCAGTTCACCACCTCTGAGTGCCAGAACCTTATGCAACTCAGCCTTCCAGTTTCACTGCCAAGCCTCACACTGTCAGGCTGAATTTTCTCAGGACATCTTATTCTTTTCTGCCCAACACAACAAATGTATGTATGTGTGCGTTTATTGCCTGTGAGCTTTGTGAGGACACAGAACACATCTGTTTTTGTTGTCACTCCGTACCTAATGCCAAAGTCAACCTCTGGTATATATCACAAAGTCAATAATTAGGTGTAGGATGAAAGAATGGACAAATCCATTGATCCAGCTGCCTATGGAATATTTCTGTCAGGAGTGTTCACCACCACCTTAAAACTAAGGCCAACATCTTTCCCCTCAAACCGACTGTTCCTCCTTCCTCCCCAGTCTCCAAGAATGGCATCACCATCAACCTGGTCAAACCAATCAGAAAACTGGGGCTCACCCCACACTCCTTCCTTTCCTCCCCTCCTTCCTATAGCCAGCTAGTCAGTAGGTCTTCCTGAGGCGATATCTGTGCCATCTCCAGTTCCTCTAATCCAGGGGTCTCCAACCCTGCCCCACTCACACATTCATGGCCCGTTAGGAACTGGGTTGTGCAGCAAGAGGTGAGCGGTGGAGAAGCGAACGAAGCTTCATCTGTGTTTATTCCTATGAACATCCTCATTGCTCACGTTACTGCCTGAGCCCCACCTCTGGTCAGGTGAGCAGCAGCAGTAGATTCTCACAGGACCGCAAACCCTACTGTGAACTGTGTATGCGAGGGACCTAGGGTGCACGTTCCTTACAAGAATCATCCTGAAACCATCCCCCACCCCTGGTCTGTGGGAAAGTCATCTTCCATGAAACCAGCCCCTGGTTCCAAAAAGGCTGAGCCTGCTATTCTAACGCTCCCTCCCCAGATTGCTTCCACACCGCGTGGCCCAGGCCCTTGTTGCCTTTATTGCCATCATTGGTTCAGTCGCTGAGTCACATCTGACACTGCATTGCATTTCTAAATGGTCTCCCTGGTTGTGAATCTTCATATTCTCTGACCAGCTCCATCCTCATGGCCACCAAACTGAAACTCTAAAATATAAATCTCATCGTGTGACCTACTCCCTGTCCCCAGCTCCACACCATTGCATGGCTCCCATTGTATTTTCGGTTATGTAGTTTCCATCTTCCCTTCTGGAATCTATTTTCAGAATTCAGAGTGTAGTTGAAGTGACTATTAGTCTAGGGAGACCATCGAAGGGTTGCAAACTTTCTGGAGCAAGTTTTAAAGAGGAATGAGCTGTGAGGGAGAGCCCAGTAAAGAGAACGTGTCCTATAGTTTGTCGGAGTCATTTATGTCAATATTTCCATTCCTCCTTGGTTGAACTTTCAGGGGACGACACAAAACAGAACGAACTCACCATTTTTTGAGTTCTGTTCACTTTGGTCTTCGGGAAAGTGTATGGATTTGGGAGTCAGATCAACTTTTGGAATCAGATCCCAGCTCTGCTTCTTTCAGTTCTGGGACCTTGAACAAGTCATCTCACCCCTATTGAAACTCTTCTCTTCCACTGTAAAATGAGAATAAGACCAGCCTCTTGGGACTGGTGTAAGCCATAAATTAGATATTGTAGCTAAGACATCCAGTGCCATGCTTAGGAGGAGGAGAGCTCCCCTCATCCTGCGAGAGTAGCTGATATTATACATCTTCTTTTTATTTTCTGGCTCTAAAATGCTATTGTCGTTGTCCCTAAAGAAGCCTGTGTGTGATTCCTTCTAGACAAAAAGCTGTTTCTTCCCATTCTGAGCTAGAATAGAGCTTGGTATTTACTAGCATCTGAAAACATAGGGAAGGGCTTCAGAGGAGAGAGGACTCTGTTTTCAGTCAAATGTTTACAGCCGCTTCATACCAAAACTTACTAACCAGACATTTCCCATGGGAGATAGCATCCTAATTTGTAGCTGTTTTTTCTTTTTCTTTCTGTCTCCTTTTCCCCAAAATCAAACAACATTGCTTTCACTATCTATGCTGGCAAAGTCAAGTAAGGTTACGGTGCTTATGTGTTTATCATAGTCTCTTCTTAAAACAGGAGCTGAATATTGTGTGCTTTTTATCCATGCCCAACAGAAAGTCTGAGACATTTTTGATGACTGAAATAAAGATAGTTTTGTGCCTCAAACCATCTCTGCTTGTCAGAAGATCCTTTCTTGGCTGGAGTATCTGGAACTAGGTCTCCATATACCATTTTCCTCTTTCATGTGGGCATAGCTTTCGAGTTGCTACATTTGTTTTGAATAGTTTTATTTTTCATTGTGGGGTTTTGAAGAAGCTCAGTGCCAGTATAAAATCTCTGTAGTTTAAGTTGTTCCAGAACTTTGGCTACTAATTTTTGAGCTTCTGAAATCTCTCACTTTATGTTAAAAAAAAAAACTCAGATAAATTTTGTAAGATTATGATTAAGCTATATGTATTTCCCAAACAGTCATGATAAATGTAAACACCTCAGTTCTGAGGGTCACATGTGGCTACTACTATTTTTTAATAGAATCATCTTAAATATGTGACAAGATTTTCCTGCCCTACATCATTACTGGGGCTTCCCTAGAGGTTCAGATGCAGAAGACCTGGGTTCAATCCCTGGGTCGGGAAGAGACACTTGCTCCTCAGAAGGAAAGCTATGACAGACCTAGACAGCAGAGACATCACTTTGCCGACAAAAGTCTATATAGTCAAACCTATGGTTTTTCCAGTAGTCATGTACAGATGTGAAAACTGAACCATAGAGAAGGCTGAGCGCCAAAGAATTGATGCTTTCAATAAAGAATTGATGCTTTCAAAGTGTTGTGCTGGAGAAGACTCTTAAGAGTCCCTTGGACTGCAAAGAGAT